CTGATCTTATGATGGACTTTGATGCGCCAGTATCTAACGTCAGAACTCGCTTGTCACCATTGATGTACCCAGTTGCTGTTAGGTTGTGACTTTTCTGTTGTACTATTGCTATGGAGATTGTGGGGCCAACGTCGATGGGAGCCAGTTCATGCCCCGCTGGACTGGCTCGATTTAGTTTAACGGTGACTCATTGGTGGACTGTTGAGCAATTCTTCTAACATCTTTCGTTGGAGGTGGTGACGATGACCTGGATCGTTTGCGCTTAGCTCTGCATTCGCGCGCAATATGACCTGCTTTATCGCAGTTGTAGCATCTAACCCTGGGCTTAGTCATCCCTACTAACTTTGTTTCTTCTATTACCTGCCTCATGGCGTCCTTGATCGAGTTAACGAGAGATTTGGGTTCGCAACCTTCGGTCTCCAGTTGGCGAATCTTGTGGGTCTGGGGCTTAACAATTATTCTTGCCGTCTCTTGGGCAAGGGCAAACGACACAGTTTCGGCAAACGACGCTTTTGGTGACGCATATGTTGCACATTTAATCTCAGGGTCACGTATGCCATTCACAAAGGTTTCGATTTTCATACGGTCCAGCAATGGGTGATTCTCTCCTGGATACGCCATTAGCACCAAACGTTCCACCTCAGCTGCAAAGTCTTGTAACGTCTCGTTTGCCCTCTGTACTTTTCCCCTTAGTTCCATAAGGTAGATGTTTTGTTTATGTTCGCCACCGTACTTACGTTCCAGTGCAGCAATAACATCTTCATAGTTGCTTCTAGAAGCGACAGGAATACTCTGTATAACATCAGCAGCACTGCCCTTCAATGCCAGAAGTAGTGCAACCGCTTTGTCGCTGTCGTTCCACGAATTTCTAGAAGCCACTGTCTCGAACTGTAACTTGAAAACATTGAATGACGTAGAGCCGTCGAATACAGGAGGTTTGATTTTTAGTGTGTTATCAGGAGCTCGCACCGGACCACCTTTGATTTCCAGTTCCGACATTTTCTTCTCCAGATTTGTAAACCTGTGGTCGTGGGCCAGAAATTTCTCATCTACAGACAGAATCTTCTCGTCAACCGACTGCACTTTCTTATCCAACTCTTTAATTTGGATCTCCACGGTTTCCACTCTCCTTCCAATAACTTCCGTAATGTCCTCGAGTTTCTCGTTCATTCTACAATTATCTGCCTTGAGTTCATCTAACTTTCTGGAATTCTCTTCGAACATTCTGGAATTTTGCTCAAACATTTTAGCCAGCATTTCTCTTAAATCGTCACCCCTGGCAGCTACTGACGAGACTTCCCCACAGTTGGATTCGCCCATTTCCGATAAATCCACTTCATCCTTACTGTCAAACTCATATGTATCGATGTTCATACCACGGCGCTCGAACTCATCCAACAGACGTTTTTGTAGTTCAGCCTTGTTGCCAGTAGAGGACAATTCCAATTTATTCAGCTCCTTCTTCAAGTCTTCCACTCGTAGATCCTTAAACTTCATCGTAGTATTATCGTAATCTCACTTCCGACACCAATTGTTACGTTCTTGGACTTTACTTAATCCCGTGTAGACGTTGTTTTATTTCCCGATACAGTTCGTACCAAATAAAACGCGGGTTCTTTCTGATTACGATTATTACAATGATTTTATTCACACAACTTTACTTTGCACTTTACTTTACTCGACGGTTTCAATTCGCGATCTGATTCACAACTGACTAACTGCCTTTCCACTTCCTCTATTTATATGAGCCTTGCCTGTCGCTACAGAAGTTTCTAGACGATCTGGTAACGTCTAGATTACGAACAATCTACCAATGCAACAAACACATACAAACTTTCATTGAGTGAACAATAACAACAACACATACAAACTTACATTGAGTAAACAATAACAACAACACATACAAACTTACATTGAGTGAACAATAACAACACATACAAACTTACATTGAGTAAACAATAACAACAACACATATACAGGCGAGGGGGTAACAAAGAGGAATTAAGCGATCATCAATGATGACGTTTAACAAGAATTGTACGCCAACAAAAAAAATAGACAATGAAAGAGGAAATGGAAGGATGTAGAAAAATCTATACAGTAGTTGTTGTTGTGAAGTTATTCAAATAAACTGCGTAGTAGAAATTTACGTTACAATTCAAATTCTTAAATTAACGGAATTCATCTAAAGTAACTTAAATCTAAATTTATATTCGTAACAATATTTTATAATTTCACTTATAAATTAATGTAAGTGTTAATCCCAGTAGATTTTCATTAAACTAAAGTCATATTTTTACCTAAGGTTACCAATTACCATTTGAGCTCAATAGGTAGGGTCCTGATTTTGGTTTCGTTTTTTTTTTATTTTTGCTAATTGGATACATAATCTTATATTGGGATAAACATATATATCTCTAAGCATTCCATTTATATTCACATTAGATCATACGATTATGTATTTTCATTTAGTAATTCTATATTTAAGGTCTTTGAATCAATGTACTTATTCCTGATATACATTTAAAGTAATAAAAGGGTATAATGAATTTTATAACGATGAAAATTGAAATAATTATGTTGTAGTGATTTATTTTAAGGTGGAACAAGGTAGGTCCAGCCAAATAAAGATGTTTTTATGGGGTTTCCTGCAAAATAAGAAACCCGCAGGGGATTTTGAAGAAATCCGTGGGAGGGCTCAAGGTACCTATACACCATCTGGGGTACCCACAACAACAACATCGAACATCTGTATCGCTATCGTGACTCTTTAATGTTATTTTTCTTTGATATACTATTGTGCATGGTCGAGTGAGGACGATGAGCTAAGCCGAGGCAAATCGATGAAAAATGATGACATACCAACAACAGCTGAGTATGGCACAAAGCAATAATACACTCTCGCCGATCCATGTAACAAAATCTCTCAGATTACCCATATATTACCTTTTAGTTTCGCCTATTGGCAATTGAATTAATTATTTCACCCTGCCTAAAAGAGCTCTATTAGTGGGATTATTATCAGACTTCACTCACAGTCTTTTTTTACACTTCAAACTTTTGGGTATTTTAGGGCAACCCTACTCTCACGCTTTATGTTTTCATTAATAATCCTTAACACATAAAAAACAACACAACTTAAACTAAACACTTTAAATATTCCTATTAAAATTAAATCTTTATAGTAGTTTTATAGATCTTGAAACTTTAAATATTTAATAATGGAGTGATTTTCTTTTTGTCATTTTAGGTAAAACCGGTGTTCAAAATCTGTGTTCCACACAAAAATGGACCAAATGGTATCAAATATCAACATTCTCTGTTAACTTCATCCAAGGCTTGCCTTATCAATTAATCCCGAAATTTTCTGCCTGGTGAAATGTTGGCAGGTGGTGCACCAGGGGATTTTTGGCTCTTTTATGGACGTTCTGTGGCGGTATTTTGGGGATCACACAATTTCCCAGATAATTTTTACTGGCCCCCTTTTAAGCAATTGGATATGGAGGCCAGACATCAAATTTTGCGCAGTGTGCCTTCGGATTTCTAACAAAATATAAAAACATAAAAAAACATTGTTAATTCTACGTCCACATACGTTATTGTTAAGATTGCCACTTACGTAGAGATAAACAAATTCCCGCACACACACACATACAAATAAAATTGAAATTGAAAATTAAAAAAAAATTTGTTTTTTTTTTTTGTAACCCTTTGGTTCTTTCGGTTTTTGGTCGCTTTTTCGTCTTTGTCGTGGAAGGTTATAAAGCACACACGGTTTAGAATTGAAATATTTCTTTTCTTTCGGTCCCTTTTATAACCTTCTAAAGACGCACGATTTTCCCTCTTTTTTTGTTTTCTTTGGTTTGCGTCATTTATTATTCATTCATCTCTACCCCACTTAGCCAACCTACAAACCCTCCCAAGGTTGTATTTTGCGGTCCGTCTCCACTAACTACAATTTCCGGTGGCAACATCGAAACCCATCATTTTATCTGGCGGCCGGTATATCCGGTTCATTTTCTTTTTGCTGGCGGTCAACAACCATCGCACAGAGATGCGGTTGGTTAGATTTTATTTATTGAATTTTATTTAAATCTGGGCAATCGCAATAAATCTAATCTGCAAGAATACCCCAGAAATAACATTATACCCGTGAAAGCGGCAACATAGACTTAGTGTCTCATGCTACTTTTTCGGCGTTGCCACTTTTTTATTTTGATACCAAATGTGCCACTTTTTGAAATTTTGTTCAACTTCTTCCTACATTTTTCCACTTTGTTTTAAAATGCTCTTACACGAAGATATTTAAAAAGGAATAATTCATGTGGTCCGTTTTTCAATTGGGGTTATTGAAATTGTCTTAGAATTTTTACATTCTGTGGTACAGGGAATTGTTATTGTGCTTAGAGGTAACATTAATTATCCGAATACGATGCAATTTAGTACGTCTCATTTGTTTAGCCTATCCAAATTGTTGAGAATCGGTTAAGATGTAGGTATAGCTCCCGTATACAAAATGGTGGGCCAAAAATCCTCTCAAATATTGAAATATTTGAACAAAAGCCTTAGCTTTTGTCCAATTTTAAAATTTGTATGTACCGCCCTATATAAGTTCATCAGATTCCATGTTAATTTGTAGCAAAATAGTGTGCCACTTTTTCAAAAGATACTTTCTGTGATAATTATGGTGGAATTGACATGTGGTAACATATGTCGGAAGAAGAAGACAGTTCGTGAGCAAATCACCAATACAACTGGTTACTAACAATTATTAACGAAAATATCAGGTATTTGGTAATCAGCTCGCTACATCTGTCAAAAACGCGCGAGTCTTAACCTACTAAAGTGTTTGTTGTGTTCTTTTAATTCAACAAATTGCAGAGGTTTAATATTAGCACAGTTTTGTAGTTAATTGTTTATTTGTCAAAAATCAATTTGTAGAAATGAGTACAAATCTTCAGTTGGAGTTGCTAGACGTTGCGGGCAATATGTTCGAAAAATATGATTCAATAGATTTGTCTACTCCCGGACTTTTAGAGGTATAAATATACTTATTTTCCTTGATGTATGTTAATTTGTTTATATCGTAGATGACAGGAATTAATCAACATGTAATGGCAACTGCAAGCGGTCTGAATGATTATGACTACCAAAATCTTTCAAATCTTACAATGGGACACAAACAGTTAAATCAAATACAAACCATTAACAAGATTCCAATTCCGCCGGAAATTCTGGAGCATTTTAAACGTAACTAACAAACATATATATTAAGCCAAATAATAAATTTGTCCTTTCAGATATTAAGTGTCATTGCATGATGGGGTTGTTCCCGGAAATAGGAAGGGCATGGCTAACCATTGATTCTGAAATTTATGTAAATAAGACTATACAATTGTGAAATTGAATAATTAAATAATGAAATAATTTTAGATTTGGACATATGAACAAACGCGTGATGTTGCTTATTATGATGGACTTAGCCATTTAATCGTTAGTGTTGGTTTGGTTAAGCCAAAAGCAGGAGTATTTATAAGTGACGTGAAATATCTATTGATTTTAACAACTCCTATAGAAGTTATTGTGCTCGGTAAGTAAGTTGCATGTTTATAGTTTAATTAATTCTATGCAAAAGCCATAAAAATGTTACGACGATACTTATACCATGTTTTACTAGCATGCAAATTCGCAATATAACAGTTAATTTTCCTACGCTTATAATCAGAAGCAATACAGACTTCTGAGCGAACACCGATTTTTCTACGCACGGAAACTCGAATCACTCTCTAAACTAGACACTGGCAGAGCGTAAAAAATTCGGATCTCACGCATTTTTGTTTGTGTGTGTGTGTGTGTCAATGGTTTTTCAGTTGGTTCAATTGTGTGTGTGTGTGTAAGAGAATACCCAGCTGATTTTTTTGCCCATGCATCTTCCAACTGAGACCAATTATAATGTAGCAGCGATCCATCCGAAGACTGTATACAATTTCAACTTACAATTACACAGCGATGGCATTGTCTTTGTGTGCCGTCATATGGGTCCGAAATCGACCGACAATGTAAGCGAATGTAAGATGCGTTCGACTCCACCAACATTGTAAACGAAGGTCGGATGGGTATTAATATTATCAGACAGCTTTTGAAATAAAAACAGAAAAAAAAGGAACAACACCCAGCACTTACAATTTCCACATACACAGCACTTACTATACTTTTGAATTTAATATTTTAATATTATTTTATTTTTTATTAGCACAACGTTACATCTTTCACCTTCAAAACCAACTTAGAAAATGCAATTTTACTTCAAAAGAATTGAAAGAACTAAAATTCATCAAGAAATGAGTAACGGTGCAACACCAGCTGCAAAACCAAATAACGAAACTATATTAACAATCAGGTGCAATACAAAGCCATCTAATTCAGACGCAAGTACGATGACAACATTTTATTATATTTTGTTCTTCATTTCTAGTATGGAGTTTGTTTCACAATGCAATAGCTATACGATTCATCTGAATCGGATCCTAGTTGTATGCTATTAACCGCCGTTATTTCATTTTTCCTATTGACATACTAGTATACATTCGGATGGCTATTAAATTGTAATGGCCTGAGGACTGCTGGGTAGTGAAATTTACTTTCGCGAGAGAGCACGCGTGCGGTGGTTCGCCCGATACTGCTCTAAACAACAAAGCAATTATTCCTATCCCTAAAGGGTCACATACACTATACATCATGCCGATGAACCCCTTTGTGTATCTGTGAGATTGACTGGGGTTTCATTGTTGCAAAGATATGATTATTGTCCAATCGCATTATGAGTCGTAAATTCAGTTATTTTTATTCCGTCACAATTCTATTTCTTTTGTACACATTAAAAATTAATAAAATGTATATTTATAAAATGTATTGAAAGGGTTAATTTTCAAAATATGGGGTCAAAAATATTCAACTTCCCCACTATGGCGAAATGTTTTGTATGGCCGTATTACACAAATACGTCGAGTCCATAACTCATAGCGAGCTAAACATAATCAAGGAATAAATTTTAAAAATTATAAAATGTGTCCAAATATTTCATTTTCTTATTGTAAAATCCATTTTTCCTTTCTGTTTCATTTCATGTAAAAACAAAAATTTACAATTTTTTTCAGAAAAAATTATAATTGAAAGTATATAGTATAAAAGAGGAAGTAAATTTAGTTTTCTACTTATTTTCTTTTCGTTCTACTTCTTTACATTCAGTAGTATTTAATGTATAAAACAAGAAACGAATGTCGAATAAAATATTCAAGTTTTTTGATATGTGACATATGAATTGAGAAAACATAAAAATGTTTTAAAAACAACATAAAATTATATATATAGCTATAGGATGCTTATTATAGAAGAGAAAAAAAATAAAATTTTCTTAAAATTTTAAACTTTTTGTAAAAAACTTGTATGACTACACATTTACACATGTAACAATAGTAACCATTTAAGTAGTGATTAATGTGGCATCAGAGCCATTTTTCATTGAGTTTGATACCAAATTTGATGTTAAGCTAGGCAAATTTAAAAATGTGCGGATACCTTCTTTAATTCGGCAATTTATTACAACAAAAAATATGCCAAAAATAATTTGTAAAAACAAACCGATAACAAACAATTCAAAAATCGGTTTTGCAGCAAATGATTGATATGTTCTAAAAATTTCCACCAAAGCTTTACTGCTATTTATTTGCTATGAAGTTTTCAACTCCATTTGAACTATATTATACGGCTATGATTTCCAATTTATGGTGGAGGGTATAAAACACGTTTTAAACTTTAGTGTTTTTTTTGGCATTAAAATTTATTTTTTTAGAATTATTTTAAGACAGATTTAGCGGCATTTTTTTCTATCTGGTCACACTGACTGGTTGTTCGAATGGTCGACAGAAGGGGCAAAAGGGTGCTTTACACAATTGGTCTGTTCCCTTACTGCAAGAATATACTATTTTTTACTACGATAACGAATTTTCTTTTATGATATCGATGAAAACAGTAAAATCTAGTAGATTCTTGCAGTACGGGAACAAACCAAGAAAGTTTTTTACTTTACATGTTTATTGATATTTTTCACTTTATTTACATATGAAATTCGAACTCGTCGTATGAAACATACGGACATTTCAATGTGTCAAAACGATATGTAAGTATTATATGATTTTTTCCGAATATGACGCGCTCTATTTTCGTATGTGAAACATAATTAAATCATTTGTTTGAGAGAAATAAATTGTTGTAAAAAAAGATTTGAATTAAAAAACAAAGAAAAAAAATGAAAAGTCTTTAGTGAAACAATTTTTTAATACGATTATAGGTGTTTAATGAAAAAATGAGTAGGGGAGACTGGGGTATGAAGATCTCATTGTACATTACTTGCTTTAATCCATAGGTATCGAATATCAACATAAATAACTGTCGCAAAGTTTGAAATTTCTAGCTAATAAGCTTATTTAGATGCACGGTTGTTTATATTTTTACAGATGTTTTTGTAATATTTCCATTCCATTTCGTAAGTATTTCGTGTATTAAACTTTTCATATTTGAAGGCAATATTATTAAAAAGTCGTTAATTATAATGTATATTCTTATAAATATAATTAAAAATATAATGTTTTTAGAATTTTTTGTTAGTTACGCCTTTTTGCATTTTAGCTAACGATATATATATATGTATAGAAAGTACCTTCGGGGTAGATTCGTCATTTTAAAGTGGGGCAAATTCGGCCATATCGGCTATATTTTTTCCAATTTTCAATTTCAATTTATTTCATAAACAAGAACCTAGCCCAAAGAGCCATGATCGATTCCAAAAACTTCTTTACATGGACTACTCCAAAAGCTTAAAATTAACAGTATATCACTTAATTATATCATAACCAACAATACATGAACTACTCCACAAGTTTTACTTAAAATGGTTTTAAGTTTTTATTTAAAAAAAGTTATTTAATATGGTTCGAAATTACATAATTAAATTACAACAATATGCATACTAACGCTCAGTGTGGCTTTAGAAAGGGTAGAAGTACTGCATTTCTTTTGTTGGGATTGACTGATTCGATTCGGGCAGAAACGAGTACATGTTTAGATTTTTGACACTTTTTACGTTATAAACATAAAACTAAAAAATCAAATTAAAAAATTTTGGTTGTATTTTATTTAGTATTTTGTACTTAACAAAACAACCAAAATTTAAAACTCCAACTCTTAAATGTCTAAGAAAAAAATAAAGATAACGAAATCAACTCCAATGTACTCACTTTTGCACGTCAGAATTTATTGAATAATTTGCAGAAGAGGAATGTAAAATCAGTTTTTAATCTTTTTTTGATTTTCATTAGTTTTTTTTAAGTAAATATAAGTTTTTTTTTTCTTTTCGAACGTTCCCACGCCTCACTTTCCCACCCCTGCCGACCATAATCCGCATCATGGTGGAATGTGAGAAGGGAATAGAAAACCAGCTACAGAATCTACTCCAACAGCCAGTTTATTATTAAGTTGCACTACACATTTAGAAATACAATTATATTAGATTTTATAAGTTCAACATTCTTGCTAAAATCTACAGAATTAAAATCAATACAAAATTTAATGAGTGGATCTCCCATAGAATAATTTGTGCGATGAAAATCTACATATAATAGTTGATAATATCTACTAGATCGAAAAGGAACATTTCTAATAGATGAAATTAGGAAATCAGAGGGTATATTACCATTTAATATTTTTAGTACCATCATAGTGTTCAACATAATACGTCTACTTTTTAATGTAGGTAACCGAATTAATTTTAACCTGCTAGTGTAAGAAGGCAACACAAAATCACTATTCCAATGTAAACCTCTCAGTGCAAAAAGTAAGAATTGTTTCTGCACTGATTCGATTTTATCGGAATATATTGCATATTGAGGTTCCCATACAACAGAACCATATTCTAATATAGGTCTAACAAGAGACGTGTATAGTTGTTTTGTTATATAAGGATCCGAGAATTCTTTGGCCCACCGTTTTATAAAACATAATACACCAAATGCTTTATTTACCATAGAAATAACATGATTGTTAAAGTTTAACTTTGGATCCATTAAAATACCAAGATCCACGAATGTTGATCTTGTTGTTGATAAAACCGAACCGTTAACATCGTATTGCCTCATCAATGAAGAATTTCTAGAAAAACACATATTTACATTTGTTTAAATTTAAATCCATACAATTTAATCTGCACCACTGAAAAAAGGTTATTTAAATCATTTTGGAGTAAATTGGCTTGTTTCTCAGAATTATGGGTCATGAATAACTTGACATCATCTGCATACATTAACAATTTAGAATTTACTACAGTAGTTGGCAAATCATTTCTAAACAATAGAAAAAGAACCGGCCCGAGGTGACTTCCTTGTGGAACACCTGAAGGTACGTTAATCGATTTTGAGAGACATCCTTCAAACAAAACTAGCTGTGATCTATTTTGTAAGTAAGATGATATCCATTTGACTAAGTTTATACTGAAACCCATATTATCTAATTTATATAATAAGAGTTCATGGTTAACCCTATCAAAAGCTTTACTAAAATCTGTATAAACGGTATCAGTTTGATTTCGCTGAACAAATCCCTTTATTACAATTGAAGTAAACTCTATAAGATTTGTTATAGTTGAAAGACCACTACGAAAGCCATGTGGATATGGACTTAAAATGGATTTAATTTTGTGAGAAATAACAGCAGTAATTAATTTTTCAAACAATTTTGGGATATCACTTAATTTTGATAAAGATTTCTTCCATATAGTGGGAAAATAACCAAAATTTAAGGAATGATTAAATAGCAACGTAGGAGGTGTTGCTAAAGTGTCAGAACAATATTTGAGAATTATGCTAGGTATACAATCTGGACCTGGAAGTTTAATTGGTTTTAGAGTATGTAAATTTTTAGCAACATCTTGACTTTGTAAAAAAGGCATATATATTTGATCTATTTTGGATAGCTCATAAGGATATGAGCTTATATTTGGACAAACTGCAGATGAATAAGTAGAGGCGAAAAAATTTGCAAAACATTATGCTATTTCAGAGTTTTTTACAAACTCCTTATTTCAATGCATTTCAAAATTGTGGGGTTTGAGGAGACTTTTCTTTTTAAGTTAACAAACTCATAAAATGACTTCGGATTAGTTTTAAAATTATTTTTGATCTTGTTGAGGTAATTATTATACAATCTACGGACTCTATGGTATATTTGGACCTAGCAACAGAATAATTAGCGTAAAATTATTAGCGTAAAAATTATTTGCTTTTTTATAGTTAAGAATATTTTTAAATGAGTCACATGAACTTTCGTTAATTGTAGAATTATGGCTCATGGTTATATATAATGTTGGATGATGATTATCTTCTGGAGTACATATAGCAGGAATTCGAATTAATTTAAAAAAATTGTGTAAAATTTACAAATACTAGATCAAGGATTCTATCATTACAATTTAAAATATTATTTATTTGAAGGAGATTAATTTCACAAAATCGATTAACAATATCAAATGTATATTGGTTTACATTTGCTTCAGATGTCAACGGCGTTAAACTTTCTGAGTCTGGCAATGAGAGCCACTTTACAGATGGCGTATTAAAATCACCAAGAACTAGAATTATATCGGAATCATTCATAATATTAATAATTGAGTCTAGTGCTGCTAAATGCTGATTATAAATATCAAGATGTGATGAAGGAGGTATATATGAGCACGTAACGAATAGTTTAAATTTACCCAATTCAATTGATATGCAGATAAATTCTATGTCAGAAAAACAATTTAATTTAATTAAATTAGTGGAAAATTTGGCATCAACTGCAATAAGGACACCGCCACCTTTTTTACCAGTACGATCTTTTCTAAATATTTGATATTTTGAACACATAATTTCACTATTTAACATAGACGTTTTGAGCCAAGTCTCAGTAATCGCAATAATGCTAAATTCAAAACCAATGCTATCAGTAAATAAACGAGTTAATTTAGTGTTTAACCCCATTACATTCTGATAGCAAATGGTAAATAGGTTATCTAGTTTTTTGATACTGGTTCAGATCTCTGAGGTAAATGAGCTAAATTATCTGATGTTTCTAGAAATTCTTTAACAAACGCTCTAGCAGGCCAAAAATCTTTCGATATCAAACTTTGAAATATGTCATCATGCACTAATATTTTATATGATGATCTACTTTCAGAGGCATCATTTAAATCCCGTTTACTAAAAAATTGTGCAAAGTTTTGAACACAAATTAATAAATACCTAATAATAATAAATCATAAAGAAATATTTAATAACCACTGAAGAGGTCATTCGGGTCTTGGGTAAAGCTTGAGTAAAGCTGTTCTAACTTGGAAATTGCAAAGGGACTTAAATTGTCTCAATTAGTGGTCATATGGGTACAAAAACGGTGTCCCGTTATTCCCAAACCACAAATTAGAGGTCGTAAACCGCCTATAAGTTGTGTGGACCTACGCCTAATGATAAGGGAAATGTAATTTGATAAGATTTAACACCAAAATAAGCTTCGTTCAGGCTTCCAGCTGTATTGGTTCACCCAAAATTTAATTTGTACCAAATTAAGTAAACATTAGTACGAATTTCCAAAACTTTCTACAAAGCCCAAATTTAGTAAACTATAGTTCGAATTTCCAAAACTTTACAGTCCCACTTCAAATTTCAATATTCCAGCTCTATCGGTTCAACCAAATCCAAATTTTGTACCATTATTTAGTAAACATTAGTACGAATTTCCAAAACTTTTCACAAAGCCCAATCCAAAACCAAAAGTGATCCGAACGTCAAATTTCAAAATTCCACCTCAACCGGTTCAACCAAACGCGGTTGACCCAAATCCAAATTGTACCAATAATAGTACGATTAAGTACTTTTCGTACACATAAGGAAATTTAAGTAATTTAAATTTTCAGGATTTCAACGCGATTTGTACCTCCAAATTAAATTTGTACCGAATATAGTACCATATAATACTTTTCCTAAACATAAGTACACACTTCCAAAGCCAGCTCCTTATATCGACAATAATTCTCAACCTTAATTTGCATTCCAAATTTAAAGTTTTTAGCTGAATTCGTTCACATGCTACGAAATTGTAGCAACTTTAGTACATTTCAGTACTTTTCGGATACTTATAATTCGAATTTCCAAAAAACCCTTTGCTACATCTATTCTACACTTTGCTACATCTATTCTACACTCAGTGACCCTCAATCCAAATTTCAGAGTTCTAGCTTCAAATAAAATTATACCATATTTAATACTTTTTAGTACTTCTCGTACCGTTCTAGTACAAATTTCCAAAAACCCAGCCTTATCTGACACCTTAGGACCAAGAGTGACAATCACCTAAAATTTCAAGATTCTAGCTTCGGCCGTTTCGTCTGGGCGTTGATGGATCGTTAAGTCAGTCAGTCTATCAATCGCATTCTAATGCATTTCTAATTTTTCCATTGTAAATAATATTGCGGATGCGAAAAATTTATCGCGCTTTTTGTGATAGGCTAAGAAGTTTTCGAACCGTCCTCGTATATATGAATATATTAGGGCGGGCCAATTTGTATAGAGCCGAAAAATTCGATTAAATCCAGCCCCTAAGATGATTCTATGGACAATTCTAATCATCTTTGCCCAAGGAACGCCTAATTAGCACACTTTGAAAGTTAATTAAAATGCCGTTGATATTAAAAAATATTTACAAAAAACAACTCCGTGTTAGCAAATTAATTCCGATTAGTCATTTTCAGAAGAAAAAAAAATAAAATTTTGTAAAATCTATTCAAATTGGCAACAACTCCTACTGTAAACCTAAAATTGTAAAAAATTGTAAACAAATTCCAATATTTTCAGGGGTTACATTTGGAGACACAACAAAAACAATTTCGTCCCCAATACGCAGTATTCAAAATACAGCCACATTCGAGGAAATGCAGTTAATGAGCAAACCTATATTTGTTCTAAGCACAGACAATGTTTCCATTAACGTCGTATTGGGCACGGAAAATGGTCGAATTTTTCTCGGTGGAAGAGATGGATGTTTGTATGAAATATATTATCAAGCTGAGTCAAGCTGGTTTGGAAAACGCTGCAAAAAGATTAACCACTCTCAGGGTATTGTTTCGTACATAGTTCCCAGTTTCCTTAAAGTATTTTCGGTATGTATAAATCTATAAACGTTATAATAAATACTATTAAATGTTTTTTAAAGGAAATTGATCCCATTGCCCGCTTGGCTACCGACAAAACTCGAAATATGCTTTATGTTTTAACAGAAAAAGGTTGTATTGAAGTATGGGACATGGGCCAAGATTTTAATTCAATGCGACGTTTGACAAAGGTGACTCAAATTGAAATCGCACAAAGTGCTAGCAATATTATTAAGTAAGTATTTACATATATATATTATATATTTTAGTATATTATATGTTAGTGTAAGATTTGGTCTTGATTTTAATCGATATATTATAGGTGTTATTTTAGAATAATTTATTTGGTATCGTGTTAATTTTAAGACTACGACTCCTACGAAATTATCCATCTAAAGGACTTAGAATTGGCACCGCAACGAATTAATATTTCACGAATGGTTGTATATATATATATATATATATAAATGTTCTATATCTTGTTGTTGTTGAGATTTTTCATGGGGAATTTAAAGGGACAATCTTGAATTATTTGGTCTTGATTTTAATCGATATATTATAGGTGTTATTTTAGAATAATTTATTTGGTATCGTGTTAATTTTAAGACTACGACTCCTACGAAATTATCCATCTAAAGGACTTAGAATTGGCACCGCAACGAATTAATATTTCACGAATGGTTGTATATATATATATATATATATATAAATGTTCTATATCTTGTTGTTGTTGAGATTTTTCATGGGGAATTTAAAGGGACAATCTTGAATTATTGCAGGATTGTATTAACAAAGTGGTGCTGCATGTCATACCACTTTGTTAATACAATAATTCATTAATGCAATAATTCAAGATTGTCCCTTTAAATTCCCAATGGATCATTGTTATTATTATTTATTAATAGATTAAAATTATCAACACATTTTACAAAGCCATTTGAGCTACAATAATCTATATTAAAAAATATTTTACAATAATGTTATCGAATATAGTTATACAATTGGTTGCATTTGTTTTCAAATATTATATTCATTTAAAATTAAATATCTGTACTTAATAGAGCATTCAAGATATTTATACAATGATTTAAAATCGGAGCTATTTAAGATCCCACAAACTTCGTCTAACGACGAAACAGCCTTATTAAAATATGTAATCCTATATTCCCTATACGTAGGGCAAATGCCGATGAAATGTAAAGTGTTCTGGTGCATTCAAGTTGCACATAGTGGAGTTTAAATCGTTTTAATTTCTGAAACATCTTGCATTTAAGTCCAACATACCGCCTCTAGATTTACAGATTAGACTAGTCGTACGCGAGGAAAGTTGGGCTGATTTTATGGGCATTACTTCGTAATTCAATTGACAGTACAGATCGGGATGCTGTGAGTTTATCGCTGAAAGCCCGAAATTTTGATGTTCTTTAAAAATTAGTAATTCTATTATTTTTTTAGAATATCGATAAATAGGAACAGTATCTACCGGGGAATAATATTGAAGGGAAGAACAAAGATTAGACCATTCTGCAGCCCAACTGATGTTTAAATTCATAATCTTTTCGGTTAATATACGCGGTAATCTTTGCGGACTAAAGCGTAAAATTTTATTAATATAATCGAAATGTAGTTGTAATGATTTTGTAAACAATGTATTCCATCCAGTCTCTATGTGAAGCATATATGTCGGAGTATTTTCTGGTAAAAATAGAATTCTCTTTATGAAAAAACTAATCAATTTTTCAAACTCTTCGTATTTCTTATACCCCCAAATTTGTGATGTGTATAACATTGTAGTTTAAGTCCACGCCAAAATATTTGTAAGAATTTAACACTTCAATTATCTTATCACCGAAATGACTCCACTTTAGACAATATGATCTTATCACATTAATCTTATCTTGTAGTTCATGATGAGAGTTTTGATAATAAAACAATATCGTCCGCATATAGTAATATTTTAATACTTGTATTTCCAGGGAGAATATTTGGCAGATCATTTAAATACAAAGAAAACAATAGTGGACTAAGTAAACAACCTTGTCTAACACCTGATTGAGTTGGAAATGACGTCCCAAATCTTGCTTTCAGAATTTTCGTACAATAAATGTAAAATTCGAATTGTTTTAGATGATAATCCCATGCAGGAAAGTTTGTAAAAAAAACTATTTCTCGGTATAAAATCAAAAGCGGATGAGAAGTCAACAAAAAATTTTTATGTATGTTTGTGTTTAATATGATTGAGCGTTACTATGTTAACTAGATTAAAGATGATGTCAATGGTAGAATAATTCTGTCTAAACCCGGCTTGAAATTCATTAAGAATGTTGTAGCGGTTAACCCAACTAGTTAATCGATTAAGTAAGATATTGCAAAATATTTTGCATATTGTATTTATTAGCGACAAACCTCTATAATTGGAGACGACACCTTTAAATAAGGGAATGAGAACTGATGTTTTGAAACACATTGGTATTTCAGGAAGATTTTATTAAATAACCTTAATATGAACTGATGTACATTGTTAGGGGCATATTTGTAGAACTCGTATGGTACTCCATCTTCACTAGGTGATTTATTCGCTTTAAGTTTGTATAAAAAATTTTTAATTTCGCAGATTTCAAACGGGGAATCCAGAATAGGATCAATAAAATAAGGTACACACCAACTAATATGAGAATCCTCGTTTTCCAATAACATTGGACCGAAGTGTAGTAGAAAATCTTCCGCACGTAGATCACCTCTTACTATACCAGCGTGGTTTTTAAAGAGTTGGAAAGGTTTCACCAATCTTTACTACACGTAACATAATCTTATTTTTTTAAGTTATGGTTGTAGTAATCTAACTTTTTATTTTTACATACTTTAAGAAACATTGATCTTGATGAATAGTAACGTATTTTGTTTACCGTACAATGGTGCCTTTGATAATCCTTTAAATATTTACGCATGACGGATCTTAGGCGAAAGAATTGCCAGTCAAACCATTTTTGTCAAGGTTCGAATATTTTCTTGGAATTTTTAATAGTGGCTGACTTTATATTGTAAGTTATCATATTGTTACGTTCTTGGATTTTACTTAATCCCGTGTAGACGTTGTTTTATTTCCCAATACAGTTCGTACTAAATAAAACGCGGGTTCTTTCTGATTACGATTATTACAATGATTTTATTGACACAACTTTACTTTGCACGTTACTTTACAGCTTTACGTTACTTGACTGTTTCAATTCGCAATCTGATTCACAACTGACTAACTGCCTCGCCATTTCCCCTATTTATATGAGCCTTGCCTGTCGCTACAGAAGTTTCTAGACGATCTGGTAACACCTAGATTACCAATGCAACAAACACATACAAACTTACATTGAGTGAACAATAACAACAACACATATACAGGCGAGGGAGTAACAAAGAAAGAGGAATGACTTTTAACAAGAATTGTACGTCAATAACAAAATAGAAAATGAAAGAGGAAATGGAAGGAGGTAGAAAAATCTATACAGTAGTTGTTGTTGTGAAGTTATTCAAATAAACTGCGTAGTAGAAATTTACGTTACAATTCAAATTCTTAAATTAACGGAATTCATCTAAATTAACTTAAATCTAAAGTTATATTCGTAACATTGCCCCCCGCTTAAGCCTGTTCGCCCCGAATAGGCACAGTTCCCGTGCCGTAGGGGGTTAGCCGCTCCAAATGTACAACTTTCATCTTCGACCTGGGACTGTCGCTCCTCTGGATGCGATAAACGACGCCATTTATTTTCGTGACAATCTTGTAGGGTCCTTCCCAGTGCGTTTGCAATTTGGGGCATAGTCCTTTCTTTCGTTGTGGATTGAACAATAATACTAGTTGCCCTTCTTGAAACCCATCGGTATTTGCCGCTCGATCGTACCTTGCCTTCATGCGGTTGCTAACCTTTTTTATTCGATGGCGAACTGCATCGTGGACTTTACTAAAAGAGTTTTGACTGTCTTCATCTTGGTTCACATCGTCGTTTGGGGTAGCACCGAATATCAAATCGCCAGGTAGCTTTAATTCATTTCCGAACAGAACTTTGGCTGGCGTCCGGGATGTGGAATCATGAATGGCCGATCTATAAGCCAGTAAAAACTTTGGAATATGCTCATCCCAGTCTCGTTGGCCACTGTCCACCACTTTCCGTAGATGTTCTTCCAGGGTGCGATTGAATCTTTCCACCATGCCATCTGATTGTGGATGTATGGGCGTCGTTCTGGTTTTCTTGATTCCGTAGGAGTCACACATTTCCTTGAAGATCGCTGATTCAAAATTCCTACCTTGATCGGAACACCATAGCGACAAATCCAATTTTTGCTGAACACATCCACAATTTTCCTGGCTTCTTGATTTGGGATAGCATAAACCTCTGGCCATTTGCTGAAGTAATCCATGACCACTAAGACATACCGGTTCCCAGAGTCGCTTATTGGGAACGGTCCAGCTACATCCATTGCGATTCTTTCAAAAGGGGCTCCTGAATTATACTGCTGCATGTAGCCTCGACTATTCCGTGTTGGACCTTTAGCTCTTATGCACCTTTCACAATTGGCGATCCAGTCGGCAATGGATTTTTGACAGCCGACCCAGTAGAATCTCTGCTTTACCTTTTCAGCGGTCTTTGCTATGCCAAGATGTCCCCCACTGGGCCCATCGTGAAACTCCGACAAGACATCTCTTATTTTGGAGTCTGGGACGACGATCAAGTTCCAGTGAGATTTACCGTCCTCACTTTCCCATTTGCGATATAGACAACCATCTATTATAAATAGACTGTCCCACTGGGCCCAATAGGATTTTAAAAGAGGGCTTTCGGAGGCAATTTCTTTGCGACTAGGTCGCTTGCCCGTTTCTATGGCCGAAATTATTTTGCCCAGAATGGGATCCCCTCGTTGTTCCGTCGACCAATCTTCACCCGAGTCAAACTACGATAGTTGGACATCAACGATATTCTCTTTACACTCAGCCTTTGAGCAATGCCTGCATTCTACCTTGCATGGCCGACGAGACAGGGCATCAGCATTACCGTGTTTTCCGCCTTTTCTGTGCTCGATTCTGAAGTCATAACTCTGGAGCATCTCGATCCAACGTGCTAGTTGACCTTCCGGATTCTTAAACTGCAGCAACCATTGGGGAGCAGCGTGGTCGGTCCTCAGCAGGAAATTCTGGCCATATAAGTATTTGTGGTAGTGTTTAACGCTCTCAAGGACAGCAAGCAG